TTGAAGTAGTGGACACTTGCTTCTCATTTGTCTTCTACATTCAGATGTTGAATTTTGTGCAGTTAGAAAATAAATTAAAAATATTTGTTGTAAAGTTATAGTTTAGAAATTTATAATTATAATTTAGAAATATATAATTAGACACAACCACTATGTGGACGTCAATTTAAACATTTCCTTAAGATCATGAATCCCACATGGCCCTTGAATTCTAGCTTTAAATTCACTGAACTAACACTTTCTGTGCAAATCTTTGTTTTAAGGATCAACTTATGAGACAAATCTTAGCTCAATCAATTTCTCAAGAAAAAAGCTAGAACTTTTTTTCTTTTTTGGTTGCAGGGTGAGTACTGGAAGCTTGCATATTATGATTATTTACTGTATCTCAAACCAATATACTATACATTCGAGCACAATAACCAGAACGGTTAAAAGTTAGGCTGCAATTCTTCAAACATAGGTCATGTGGAAGAAAGAAAACCAAACAAAATTAAATTAATTATACATTTTGTTTTTCAAATTAATGAATTATAAACATGATTAATCTATTGTATATCAACAAATAAATCAATTCAAAATAATCTGACCTCGATTCTCCGTCCCAAATTCAGGCTCCAGCTCCTCTGCACATTTCCTCAAAACTTTTTCTTCTTCAACTCTACCCACCTACCATCTCAACGGAGCTGCGTCCTGCCTCCTTCCTTATTATCTCTCCCCCCTCCACCTCCAAATCCATGACTTCTTTAGCTTCTGCACATCTCCCTGCAAAGGCATAGCTGCCCAACAGAAGAATATTATCACTTGGGTGGTCCTCACCCATGGCTGCCAAAACTTCTCTGGCCAGCTTCCCTATCCCTATCTCTCCATGAACCCTGGATGCAGCAAGCAAAGCTCGCCAAGCCATGGCATCTCCTCCATTAGGCAGGCTTTTCACCAGCTCATAAGCTTCTCGCAGCAATCCAGCCCTGCCCAACAAGTCAATAACGCATCCATAATGCTTAATCCCAGGGCTTACCCTGTATTCAAAAACAATTTTCTTGAAGTAATCTTTTCCTAAGCCCACAAATCCCCCATGGCTGCAAGCAGAGAGAACAGCAAGTAAGGTCACCTCATTAGGCCTCATCCCACTCTCCTCCATTTCATCAAACAGCCGCAGAGCCTCCTCTGACCTGCCATGAACTGCAAATCCCATCATCATGGCTGTCCATGCCTTCACATCTCTATCCTTCATTTGGTTGAAAACTGAAATTGCTTCCTCCAGACATCCATTCTTCGCATACATATCCAACAGAGCGGTCCCCAGAGAAGCTTGGATTTCCAACTTCTCCTCCTTTGCGTAGTCGTGGATATGCCGCCCAAAACCTAAAGCACCAGAGGAAGCACAGGATGATAGTAGTCCTAGAAGCGTGACTGCATTTGATTTAACTCCGTCTTCCCTCATCTTCTGCAATAGAACCAAGCAGTCATCCAAGGAAGCTTTTTTAGCGTACCCATCTATGATGCAATTATAAAGGACAACATCTCTACGCGTCATTTCGTCGAACGTCTGCCGTGCAGGTTCCATCATTCCGTTCTTCACATACATCGTTGCTACCGCAGTCGCCACCTTAGGCTCGGATGTAAGCCCAGTTTTGACGCAGTGGCCATGGAGGGGCTCGCCATTGTAATTACTGTCTGTAACTGCTGAGAAAGCGCGGACAGTTGTGGCTGGACCGACTTCCATGCTAAAATCAAACATATTTCTTAGAAAGGCGAGAACTTTCGCCGGCTGTGAGGTCCGGAGATAGCCTCCCATCAGGGCATTGAAAGAAACAGCATCTTTTATATGAGGCAATTCATCAAACAGTTGGTGTGCAGCCGCGACCCTCCCACAAGCACAGTAAAAATGTAAAAGCGTATTCCTTAGATTGAGGAAGTAATCAAAACCGGCCTGGGCTACCAAACAATGCAGTTGTTCACCGGCAGTGATGGCCAGTTTGCGACCACAGACCTTGAGGGCGGTAATGAAGGAGAACTGGTCGAGCGAGAGGGCTCGGGCTCTGATTGAGTTGAAGATAGAAAAGGTTTCTTGTACGTTTGGGTCGGGAGCGAGAGAGTGAGCTCGGAGAATGGAGTTGAAGGAGAAGAGGGTCGGCGAAGGGAGGAGGCGGAAGAGAGAGAAGGCGTGGTCGGGATCGAGAAGGGTGGCAGAAGCGAGGAGTTTGGCGGAGGGGAAGGGTAGGAGGTCGATGCCATTTTTTATCATGGCGCCATGAATTCGATGGAGATCTGAGACGGAGGTGCAGGAGCGGAGGAGCTTGGTGAGGTGGTGAGGCCGATGACGGGCACCAGAGAAAGAGAAGAAGAGGAGCGCTTGCCTGCCTTGCGTTGAAGCCGACGACATTAACCATTTGTGTTGGTGCAATTGAAGTAGTGGACACTTGAATGATGAATAAGGTTTAAAATTTGATTTTAAGGACCAGCTATATATTAAAGGGGGGCATTTACATATATAGCACATATTTCTCGTGTGTTTATGTATTTCACACCTAAATTTTCATGCACATAAGATTTAAATCTTTAATATCATATCCAAATCAGTAGTATGATCACTTTTTAAGTTGAAATAAACATTTTCATGCATAAATTTATAATAAGAAGTGTATATAACAAAAATACCAGTTCAAACCTCAAAGCGAACAAACAGCTAGGAATGAAGTCTCAGGCAACCGAAGCCCCGAGCCAAAAGAGTGAGATGTAGACTGACTAAGCAGTCGATTGACTGCACAGCAAAATCGGTCGGCGGATGGACATATTGTTGGACTGACCTCTTACCGAATCGATCAGATGCCAGTTATCGATCGATTTGTCCCCTCAGCGGAAGAGATCTCATACATACGATAGATCGACATGGTGAGTCGATAGCAAAGCTTCCAATGTTCCATAAATATTATATTTCTTTTTTATTATAATGTACTTTTCTCATAGACACTTTGATTCAGTCATTTGAGCGATTATTATAACATTTCCTCCTCTTTTGTGTAATGTGTTTTAGACCCCTATAAGTAAGAGGTCAAAACAAAAATGAAGGGACACATTCTATCTTTCTCTCTCTATCGACTCTTTCTCTCTTTTCCTTTCAGCACTAACTCTTGAGGCGTGTACACAAAAAGACAAGTTAGGATTTTCAACATCCTATTGCTGCAGACGAGAAGGAGAGCACACTACAAAAGGAGAATTTCAACAGAGAGACGCAACACTAATGGTGTTCACAAGGAAGTTAATGCATCAAGAGATTCGAAAGCAAGTCTGAGAGTTGCGAAAGCAAATGATAAGCTAATTTGAGGCCCTCCAAGAAGCAATTACTTGAAGGAATGATCAACCACCTCTTCTGGAGGTGGGGTCTCGGTGACCTCGCCTTAAGGGGTACATTCTGAGAACCTGCCAGTACCCAACGGTCGGATGAACAATAGGAGACCAAAGGACACGAAGATCCCAACATTTTGACAACACTGAGTCTACGCTGATGGTCAGGCATCGAGTAGAGCGAGTTGAGGAACCTTTTTAGCCACCCCAAGATAGTTATTTTACTCGACCAATCATGGAGGTAGTACCCCCCAACAAAGTTAAAGTTTCCTCGTTTGTTTCATTATAAAGGGAAGAATGATCTAGTCGATGTGGCTTCTTTTAAATCATCAGTTGTAGTGTTGCAGATCAATGACACAATGAAGTGTCAGCATTTCTTAACAACACTTGAGAAGTCAGCTCTTTGGTGGTTTCTCACTCTATCGATTGGTATTATTTCGACCTTCGCTGAGTTTAAGAATCTTTTTGTGGCACACTTCAGCAATGTACAGAAGCCAACGAAGAAGTCTCAGGCTCTGCTGCAAAAAAAAAGCAAGGAGAGAATGAAAATTTGTGAGCTTATATCACTTGATTCCAAAAGAAGATACTGAAAGTAAAGGACTTGAAACCTCTAAGTTCCCAAACTGCTCTTGTGCAAGGAGTTAGAGACGGGAGGTTCAATTACGACTTGAAATTGCTCGAACTAAAGTTTTTTGTTGAGCTACTAGATATGACCAACGTTCACATTACTGTCGAGGAGCTCTTATAGACCTCTATAATGTCGAACAAAAAATCTTCTGACCATCGATTTAAGAAGAGGAAGGCACAGAACAAAGGAGATAACTCGAATGATAGCCAAATCTTCATTGATCATTCTTGATATAACAACAACCAATGGGCACAGGATGATCGAGGCAATGACAAGGGCATTCAGGGTCAGAATCAATATTATGACAAACAACTGTCTCAATAGTTTGAGCAACCGCACTTTTATTGAGAGATGCATAACTTAACCCCCCTGAATGTTTCGATGGATGAGTTAGTTGAAGCCATTCAAAACAAGAAATACTTTAAGAAAGCTCCTTCGATGAAAGTTGGACCTGCCCTCTGGAATCCACATAAATATTATGATTACCATCATGATTACAGGCACAACATAAATGAGTGTTGTCACCTTTGGAACTTGTTGGAGGAGTTGATCATTGTTGGAAAGCTCAAAGAGTTAGTTGTTATCGAAAGACATACTCGATGGTAGAAAAAGGCACCAGCTGAGGAGCCGTCGGATGGACCTTTTCTGGTGAAAGAAGTTCACATCACTGGAATTATTTTGGCTATTATGGGGGAGATGGAGAGTCATCCTGTCGGTCTAGCTAGAAGAGTCATCAATCGAGGATGTATGCTCTATCCCCACTAATAAGCATATCATCCCCCATTTTTTTCATAGATGCAGATCTTTCGCTGAAAAGTAACCCATATAATGATGCAATCGTTATTACTACATTTAATCAACAACTATTAGATGGGTAGTACTCTAATTGACACTAGAAGTTTAGTGAAAATCCTTTTCCAAACAGAGTTTGACAAGATTGGGCTCAAAACCGATTGGTTGACAGCACCGATCGACCCGTTGTTTGGTTTGACGAGAGGATGGAAGCTTTAGATGTTATTGTTCATGGCGTCTCATAGGACAAGGAAGAGAAATAATTCAACAGCACTGAGGACTTTCTGGTGGTGGAGTCCCTACCAATATACAATGTTATTTAAAGCAAACCTTTGTCGAATAGTAACAAGATGACAACTACAACCTATCATGTGGTCGTGAAGTTTCTCGATGATAGGGAGATTATCACGATCTGAGGAAACTTGGAGCAATCAAGGAGCTGCTACCTTCCATCGGTTACCAGCGCACGAGCTTCTCGACATTCAGATTCAAAGTGAAGCAGGACTTAAGACCAATGAGACCTAGGTCTGACAAAGGAGAGCCTAGTAATGTTTTTCTAATCAATGAAAGCTTTGATGCAGAGTACAAAAATCTATTGATCCAAAACCTATACGAGCATCGAGATGTATTCACTTGGATAGCGGCGAAGATGCCTAGAATCTCAGTTAATGTGGCCTGTCACCGATTGAATATCATCCCAATAGCTCGACTAGTGCAACTAAAGATCCAATTGATTGCTAAAACATTTATCTAGCCAATAGCTGTCGAGGTGAAATGCTCAAAGAGGTTGGTTATATCTAGGAGGTCCAATACCCGACCTGGCTCTCAAAATGGTGATGGTCTGGAGGGCAAACAAAAAGTAGAGAATGTGCATTTACTTCACAAACCTTAATGCTGCTTGCTCGAAGGGCAATTACCCATTGCTCAAGATTGACATATTAGTTGATGCGGCAGTCAGACACTCTATGATGAGTTTTCTTGACACCTTCTCAAACCTTAATGCCACTAGATCAAGATGCATCTAACCGACGTAGAAAAGACATCTTTTATTATTAGATGTAATGCCCTTTGAGCTTAAAATGTGGAAATCAAAAAGGAAAAAAAAACATTGAAGTGTATGTGGATGATGTCTTAGTTAAATGTAAATTGTCTGGATAAGAAATAGAAGATTTAAAAGAAACATTCAAAATATTAAAAAAATTTAATATAAAGTTAAATTCCTTGAAATGTACTTTTGGAGCATCTGCTGATAAATGCTTAGGCTTTTTTGTTAACTTCTGAAGGAATAAAAGCCAACACTAAGAAAGTACAAGTGATTTTGGATATTCCATCCCCCCCAAAGCACCCAAAAAGTCCAAAAGTTGATTGAGTGAATAGCAGGGTCTCTGTCGATTTTTGTCAAAGCTGAGTGATAAATGTGTAGTGTTTTTAAGGTGCTAAAGAAAAAATCAACTTTTTGAGTGCATGCCCAAATGTAAAGTGGTGTTTAAAAGTTTGAGGATTCTTTGGCATCACCATTATTACTTCAAAGTTTGAGGCAGGGGAGAAAATTTCATTGTATCTCAAAGTCGGGCAAGAGGATGTCAGTTCAGTACTGGTCAAAGAAGATCCAAGGAAATAATTTCTGATATATTATACTAATTGAGCAGCTAGAGGAGCTAAAATTAGATGTCTAATTATGGAAAAGCTAACATTTGCCTTGATTATTTCCTCTGGTAGGCTCTGATCATATTTTCAAATGCATCTAATTCAGGACATAGCTAATTATCCATAAAGTCTGTACTCATGCAACTGAAGCATCTCAATCTATTATTGAAGTGAGCAGTGGAACTCAGTGAGTATGATATTACTTACATCCTTTGGACAACCATCAAAGCTCAAGAGATCACTGATTTCAGGGTAGATTTTTTCTGAGATGGAGGAATTGAGCAAGAAAAATCATATCAATGATCAGACGTGGATTTTGCACATTAAGTTGGGACTTGCTTTAAGCGGTTCATCCAGGGAACATCTCTAGCAATTGAAATTGGTGGAGTTTGATGATACAAATAATTATTTTCTCAATTCTTTTTAATAATCAGAGCTGCGAGCTTGTCTATTTATATGTTGTCATATAATTTTTTTTATTTAAATAAATATTCCTCCATTTTATATCAATAATTTGAAGAGGAGATAGATTGTAAAGAAGGATATATGATAATAAACATGCAAACAAAAAAAAAGAAATAAGTGGAAGACTTATATAAGTGTAATTCTCATGTGATGGATCGAGAGTATACATCTGAATAAGCTCAGATCGAAATACCTTAAAACCAACATCCACGAAGAGAATCCCTACATAAGCCACCTATAACCAGAGAACTAAAGAGAATATTTTTGTTTTGGGATCAAGAGTTTTCTAGAGGAACTTATCCATCTATTTAATTACATTCTAGAGGATGCCTCAGAATTCTCTCAATAAAAGGAGTTTCATTTATATTATCATGAACCTGGAGAGTGGGCCATAAAAGGATGTTTATTCCATACAGGATTGACATGATACTTCAAAACCTCTGCTAAGCTATAGGATAGAAAGTGAGTCTCTCACATCCCAAATGGGTAGCAGCTTGTTGGAATCCAAACCTACCAAATAACCAAAACTAACCCCACGGGAAATCTCTACATGTCAGATCTCACCGGATCATAAGGGCAGAGGGTGAATCACCGTGTCCCAAACGGGTGGTGGCTCATAAGTAATCAAGTCGTTAAGATGATATCAACGAAGTTAAAGGAGCGACATGGCTCAAAGGGGCTCAGTAAGAGGAAGGGTAGAGTAATCCTAACAGGTAGAGTTAGCCAGGTCTGAGAATCACGAACCCGTCATCCCAAACTACTATGACTCTAAGTTTGCCCTATCGTTAAGGAAGCCAACACTTTTAGAGATTTCGGTCAGCAATCTGTGAATTGCATGTTGTACATGGGGACCTCAGTAGACCTAAGGTCAAAAAAAGGAAACTCTAGTCCTATGACCTGCAAGATAGAGCTCAAGAGGTGGGATTTATACCCGCCGAAGTGACACAAATGCTTCAGAAAAGAAAGAAAGGAAAGAAAAGGTCCATCTACACCCATCTGAGTCAGGAGCTTTCTAACACCCCAAGCGCACTAAATGACCACCTAAGTATAAAACCATATTCTTGATCAATTAGGTTGAAGAAGTACGGAGACTTCTCATCGGGACATGCAAACATGAATGTAGTTATCTACCGCAGTCATAAGCGTGGAGGCCCTATTATATGACTTGAGAGTGATAGCCATGTATGCATCTCATTTAAAATTCAGCTCAAAGTCCATAGAAGAAAGTAAAAGTACAAATTTTGAAGTTCTAAATATTTTAACATTAAAATTTTTATTTTCTTGAATATTTCATTAGGGTTTTGAAGCAACTTTAGAATTTTGATCCTAATGAGCCTATATTATATTCGTGATTCCCAGACACACTGTTGCACCCCATAAATTATCACAATTATGTAAGTCCCGATGATGATTCTAAAAAACTTGATCTGCCCCCTAACTACTTAATTAAGTTCTTAAAACTAGGTGTTTTTGGACACTAGGGTTTCTTACACAAGTATATGTATTGCTTTTGTAATATAGGGCTCTAATGAGTTCATTTTGCCAATCTCATAGGGAAAGGAGATAATGAATCCTTTAGGAGAAGTTCTAGTCTACTATGTTTGGGTCTTAGTTTGAAATATTGATTAAGGTGGTTTTTCAAACAACTACTTCTAAATTACAACACTAAGTTTAAAGCTAAACCTACTAAATCATATGATTTGGTGAATATCAAGATATAAAATCTACCTTTCTCTTGTGATTGCATAAGTTTATTGTAGGATTGAAGATTATGAATTGTAATTGTGGCAAGTGCCAACTAGGAACATATATCTTGTTTACCCTCTTTTGAGCACGTAAGGAAGTTTAGTTCAACTTGGTAAGTGTTTATGTCTGTCACCCTAGAAACCTCAATTTGAACCCATCAAAGATTATTTCCCTATCTATTTTCAATGCCCTATAAACTACTTTTCCTTCACCCACTAGTTTAATGTGATCTTCTTATCCGTTCATGACACAGCTCTCCCGAGTCATTATGGGTTCATAATAAATTTTAACAAATTATTAGGCCAGAATGTTAAGTAAATTAAGTGCAGAAGAAAAATCATCACATTAATGATTTAAGAACAATTCTATAACAATCCTAACATCCTACAAATTTTACTTATTTATTACAAGAGAAAGCTAAAGGAAATCTACTCACAAAACATGAATAACACCATGTAAATCCTTATCACTTTACAAAAAAAAATCTACTAAATATGTGTTTACAACAAGTACAAGATAAATGATAACACAATACTTAGCTTTTCTTCTCTGAAAAGAGTCCCTCCAACAATGTATCAATGTGCTCCCTGTAATGTTGAAATGATCCCCTTGCAGATTTCTCTCATAACTCCTCACCAATCTCTCATGAAAAGTGAAAATCTACAGACCCTTGATCTTCCTACGACTCCTTGGTCTCCTTGGAATTTACAAGGGTTCAAAGAGGGCAGGCATCCCCTCTCCAAGTGTCGAAATTCATCAAATAAATCTCATCATTGTGTTGAATAACTGCAGGAACCATTATGACAGGTACCAACGCCTTGACACCCAATTTATGGTGCCTAGGTTCCATCCTCTCAGGTTACCTGGGAGACTATGGAGTCTAAGCACCCAAAAGCTGGTGCCAAGGTGCTACTGGGCAGCATCTTAGCGCTCAACAGCTGGCGCCTAGGCATCAGTTGGCTGGACTCCATTTCGACTCTACTTTGCTATATTTCAGCTCCTATTCACCATGTGTCCTACCTGTTATACTTGCAAGAAAAATATAAAAATACCTTTATTTAAAGTGAAATTTCATAAGAAAAATAAGTGTTAAATGTAAAGTAAATTGAGCATGCCAAAGGACACATCATCACACCATAGAGAGAAACAAAGAAATCCATTTCAAGCATGCAAACATGCAATATAGCAGGAAAATAAGCCAAATCAAAATATTAAGATGTTAGTGTCATTGGGTCAACAACGTATAAAAAAAAAGAGCTGTTGAATTCGAGACAGACATGTCTGATCCTAAATCAATAAATCAATATCAAATGCATTAAGATACGATATAAGAACTGCTGCTCTTGTCCCCCACCACATGGTTCCCTCACAAAAATACCTCGAAACATGTACTCATATCTTATTTATGATACATGAATCTCCTAAGGACTCTAAAAAGCGAATAGGAAAAAATGGGACATTTCTGCACAAAAATATGTTAATGGGAAAGCTAACAAACATGCAATATATAATGAGTCGTGCCTTTTATCGGAGGAACTAAATGGCACCTACAATCAAAATGTTAGTAGAAATCATTACATTCTCCCCCTTTTAATAGTACATGTGTGTGCACATATATATATAAGCACGACCCTTGAAGAAGAATGCTCTAATACACTATTATGCATATCAAGTACACAATCACACTAAAAACACAAAACAATAAAGATGCTTGAATAGGACAACCAAACTAGCAAAAAACAATAGTTAGACATCAAAAATACTACCTAGCATTCTAGTCCTAGCATATCACACTGATCCTGAAAATATAGTTGTGTAAAACTTATAAAGTTGAGTCCGATTTACAGCAGTGCCAAAAACTTTATGCATTATTTTATGAATAATTATTTTAAGATAAGAAATTTAAGCAATTTATGTTGGGATTCTACGCAAGTATATGCATTATTATCAAGTATATATGACTTTCTATTTAAACCCCAAATATCGATCCCATGAGGAAGGTTTAAATTTGAAATGATAAATTAATTAGGAAATTCACATAAATAAAACAAAATTACTATCACTAATTTTGAGTTGTTTGAGATACTATACTATCAGACCTAAATTATTACCTACTAGCAAAACTAAAATGTAAAGTTTAAACAGTAACGACTAAACTATGTTTTATGAGATGAAGTTTTCTAATGTGAAAAAATATATTTCCCACTACAATGAGTTTTTGGTAAAATGAGATGAGATAAATGATTTAAATATGTATTATGTCAAATAGGAGCAATTTTAATTATCTACCCTGATTCAGTGTTATAGAAAATCATTGGTTAATCTCAGGTTTAGTCCCTAAATTCGTGGTTAGGCTAGGAGGATACTGGCTCTCACTCCAGAGCTCCCACTTCCCTTCCCCTGAAGGCTAACGCTCGCTTTAGTTCTTAAACACTAAGACCAAATTGGGGATTTTAGTCTGTCACCTTAAAATCTCCAATTCTACACCCAACAAAGTATATTTCTCTATTTATTTGCACTTAATTCTATGAACAAAATACTCCTTCATAGAATTAAATGTGATTCTCACCCTTGTTGTAGAACTCATACTCCATTTCCCGGATCATATGTTTCACGATATATTTTAATAACTCAATTGGTCTGATCAAAAAGTAAATTAAGAACAAAGTTGAAAAATTATCACAATTTATTTCATATTTTAAAATTGACACATCCAAATTATCTATTCATTTCACCGTATCGCAGAGTATGGAGAAAGAAAAATGAAACTACTCAGACTTCTTGAGAAAGATAAAGCAAAACACAAATTTCATATATAAAAGAAAGTTTATACAACAATAATAAACAAACAACACTTATCTGAAACTCTTTCTCAAAGCAAATCTCTCGTCGTCTCTCTTAGAAGATGTATGAAGAAGAAATCTCTCGCTTCTCTCCCTCTCTAACACTCTTAGAGAAGAATTCACACTTAAACCCATCACAAAAACTCAAAACCCTAAAGAAATAAATGCCTAATGAACTCTAAGTGGTTGTAGGGAATGTGGAATAGCATGGAAGAGAGTGGAAAGCGGTCGAAAGGGGTCTTTTCTGATCAATTTCCACTTTAAATAGTGCCTAATGTCGGTTTTCCAAAGGTGCATCCAAAAACTCTTCAAAAAGTGTCCAAGTTTGTAAAATCTTCTCGAAACAGGTCTTGCGCCAACATTGACGCCGTCAGCGTCTGCATCCATCCTAGCGCCGTCAGCGCTGAATATTTCTTAAAAAACGCCATTTTGACTTCAAATTTCATCTTTTTTGCTTTCTTTTTTGCTTCAAGTCCTAAAAATCAACAAACTACAATACAACATGAAAAATACCGCTCTTTAAAGTGCAATATCACTAAAAATGAGTATAAAATATAGGTAAAAATATACATATATTTTTAGTGCATCACACACCATCTAAGGAAAGTTTCCTAACCAGCGCCTATGTGCAGAGGGTAAAGAATCCTGTTATTGTATGACTTTAATGGAGTCAACACACTGACATTGTCCTAAAGATCCAAGGTTTCTAAAGCACATCAAAAGAAAAAGGGTGTCTTTTTAAAATAGGTGGCATCACCTATGGCCTAACATATATAATTTTAATATAGATGGATAATACTTATAATAAAAAAAATATCTATTCTTTATATTTTAAAATAACAAATCGCTAATGGCAGATCCAGAGTAAATTAAGTGACACATTTTAGAGTCCATAGATTTTTAGCATAGTAATATTATTTTTTGCTTGTGACACAGAAACATGCATTGCTCACCGAAGCATCATCGAGGGCAATGCTCATTTGAGTATCACAACCAACAACATTTTCACTCTCTTAACCAGTGGGATAAGCCATCAAGGCAAATGGGCAAACAAACAATCACATAAAAAGCCCACATTGTGATTGTTTGATCAAAGCACAAAACAATCACAACGGGCGCCCAAAAGGGAAAAACACACATCATGCAAATGGATGTAAGGATGCCTACATGCAACATGACATACACAGGAACGTGATGTACCAGTAAAACATGCAACATATGGAAAGAAATTATGCCTGCTCGGGGGGCTCGGGGTGCTCGGAGCATCATGTGACAAGCAGACACCGACTACAATTGAGTTTGCATTGAATAAAAGGATAACTACAAAAAGTATTTACACCTTACCTAAGAGACACTCATCGAGCACACATGCAACATGCGGTGAGTGCAATAAGGCAAATGAGACAAGTCAAGCATATGACATAAAAATGACAAGCATACATAAATGCTAAATGCCAAAAATACAAAGTGATGTTATCCTTACTAGTGATAATCACACCCTAGGTACTGACACGATTTGAGTGGTTAAGATGCGTAACTTGTGCTTAATATAATTTGAAATACCTATGAGACTCCAAGAAGCATCATAGGGAGTGGGGTAGATGGCTTATGAGTGAGCCAACTCCTCTTAAAGTATGAAAGTGTCCATCTCCGTGCATATAACTGCGTATATGAGGAAGATACTTACAAGTGTAAGCACTAAAAGAGACACCAGTAGTGGGGATACTCAAAGAGACACCCCAAACATGGATGTTCCAAGAGACACCCAAACATGCCAAATATAAGACTTACAAGAAAAAAAATGTCACATGCAATTGATGCAAAAAACATACAAGCATGGAAGTGATTGGTCGGCCGGGATGTGGCAGCAGATCAAGCCAAAAGGATGAGTTGATCAATTTGGGACACTCAATCAGACCCAATAGAGCGGGCCATTAAATTTATACAGTCGATCGAACTTAAAAAATCGGGTGATCGACCCGAGACTACCGATATAACCCAAAGGATCAAGTGATCGGCCTAGGATGACCAATCGAACCCAAAGTGGGTGATCAACACGTGGCGATTGATCAAAACCAAGGTAAGTGATCGACACATGGTGGCCAATCTAGCCCTAAAATATGTCGATTGAGTCAGGACAACAATACAGACCAAGAACGGGTGATCGACGTCGGATGGTCGATCGAACCCAAAAGAATCGGGCAATCGGATCGGGTCGGCTAATCAAACTCAGAGTGGGTAATCAAATCAGGGTGGTCGATCATCTCCAAAGGTTAGGCGATCGATTGAACCTAAAATATCGGGATAACATGTCGGGGCATCAAATTGAACCCAAAGTGGGTGATCAAAGCAGTGTGCCTGATCGAAACTAAAAGATCAGGTGATCAAGCGGGGGTGGTTGATCGAACCTATAGTGGGTGATCAAACCACTACAGTTGATCGAACCCAAGAGATTGGTTGTTCGAGTGGGGGAAACTAATCAAACCCAGAGTGGACAATCAAATTAGTGTGGTCGATCAAACCCAAAAGATTGGGCGATCAAGCTAGAGCGGTCGATCAAACCTAAAAAATAAGTCGATCGGGCCAGGGTGATCAAACATATCCAAAGTTATCAGTCGATCGGGTAGTGACAACCAATTGAACTGAAGTGTTCACATGATTACACGTACTATATGTGACATAATCCACATGCAAAAATGCAACAAATGAATACATCTATGCAATGCAACCCGAAACAATCGACGACGCATCAAACTCATTCTAACAGCCTCACATAGGATCTAGGGTTTAAGCTCTTAGATCTTTGTCATAGTTGTCTTCCACTTTGGTGAGGATATGTGGAGAACTTCACCCTTCAATTTCTCATAGGAAAAGTCCTCCACCTTTCATATGATGAACTAGTTACAAAGATTTTTCCATCATAAGAACCTCACACGATCTTGTAGAATAAGCCAGCTATAAATCTTATACCATTCTTCAAGATTGAACTATCCCAACCCCTCCAAAGAAGGTTGGAAGCTCCAAAGCCATATGAAAATTGAGATTCCAACCCACTTAGGTATAGATCTAAGGCTAATAAGGAAAACTCTCAAATTCACTAGGAATATGTCCAATAAAGGCTTCCTAACCTAAGGCATTCTCTTGGAAATAAAAATCCAATCCAAAGGCGTGTGGCCGTGTCAACAAGTGTATGTCGGCCACTCGCCTTATGTAGGCAACCAAATCTAGTACCTTGCCAAAAATTAATCCTAGGGCTGACTAAGAAAGAAAATGAGAAAGGGTTTAAGGATCTCACCAATGTGGAATTAGATGTCACATTTCTTCTCATGGGATGAAGCTCTCCTAATGTTAGGAGAGATGAAAAAGTTCTGAAAAAGCTCCAGTGAGGTCCGCTTCGCTCCTCCAATGAATGAAGATGATCTCCTTTAGGAGGAGAGTACGACACGATCTCAAGCTCCAAAGAAGATCCTTCTTTTAGTAATGAAGAAGCTCTCCTCAAGAAGTAGACTCTGGTGAGGTAGCACACTGTTGACCTCACTTTTGGGTTGAGGTTTAGTTTTCCCGCTTTAGTTGCCTACGGTTTAGTCATAGGACTTTCCTGTTGGCTATTCTTAGAAAACTAAAATAGGAACCCTCACAATTAGAAATTGTAAACTCTTTCTTGCTCAACTTGAAGTTCCACATATTGGTCCTATCCTCTAACATTTAGTGGGTGGGGTCAGAATGGAGGATCTCAAGAGGAGTCCTTATATGACTGTTTGACCTTAGGGTTGACCCTGGGTGTTGGTCTGGAGCTAGTTCATTCACTACACTCACTATCACATATACAGAACCCTAAACCCTAATTTGTTGACTTTGATCCCTTGACTTATTGGGAAACTCATGTAGATGGTCTCCTAGACCCACTAGCCCTAGGCTAGGGTTTAGCTAAGACAAGTACATAGAGAACCCAAATGAGGATTTCATTGGTCCATAGCTCATACATAGTGGTTGGCACCCCATTTCTACCAAAAATGTCCAACTTGGTCTTCTGCTTCTAAATCCACCCAAATTACCTAAATGCTCTTGAAATCCCAATTTCACCCAAAATACCTAAATTTTTCCAAAAATCACTTTAAACCATTTCAAAATACCCAAATTTCCCAAAACCACCCAAAATTGTCACTTGGTCTTCTGCTTCTAAATCCACCCAAATTACCTAAATGCTCTTGAAATCCCAATTTCACCCAAAATACCTAAATTTTTCCAAAAATCACTTTAAACCATTTCAAAATACCCAAA